ATATAGGAGGGCATGTCAGGATATAGGAGGGCATGTCAGGATATAGGGTCAGGAAAAGACTTTCTTAATAGGACTCTGGTTGCCTGGAAAATAGGACCAACAGTGAGTAAGTGGGACTTGATGAAACTGAAAAGCTTCTATACTGTAAAGGAAACCGCTCATTGCACAAAGCACTCAAAAAACTAAACACTGAGAAAATAAACCACCCAGTTTAAAAGTGGGCTATGGAACTGTACAGAGAGTTCACAGAAGAAATGAAAATGGCTGAGAAATATTTGAAAACTATTCACCACTGTCAGCCCTCAGTGAGCTGCAAATTAAGACTACTTTGAGATTTCAACTTACCCCAGTCAGACTAGCTAAGATTAAGAAATGAATAGATGGCGCTGGAGAGATGGCTCAGCAGTAAAGGGCATCTGCTTTTACAGAGGGCCTTGCGTTTAGTTTCCAGCACCTACACAGCAACTCATGTATATATGTAGGCAGCTGGGGAAAGATCTATCAGCAGCCTTACTACTCAGCTGTCAACCCCATGCGCTACAATAATGACTTGTGTGGCAAGCCATGTCCATGTGTGTGGTGGTGGCATGAATGTTGTGGTCTAACCAACTGCTTCACGGCTGGGGATGTCATCGATCCAAGGGGTGAGCCTCCAACTATTATTCTGCTAAATGGACAGAGTAACAAACTGGCCCAAAGATTGTATCTCTATATCCATAGATTAGTACAGGCCTCAAACCTCATTAGAGATGTTTCTCTATGCAGTTGATGGCTATTAATGCAGAAACTCACAACTCGTCTTAAGTGTAGCTAATAAGTATCAGTGGAGTCCTCAGGCACAAATGAGACATCTATGTTACACCATATCCCCCAAGGCTCAGGGACAACTATGGAAGGGTGGTTGGAAAGACCAGTGTAAAATAGCATCTTCTGGATATGACAGGACCATTGCAGTCATGATGATGGTTTATCAGATAGAAAATGCAGGGTTCCCATTTACAGCTGTGGTGACATTCCAAGACCTGTACAATAACAAGCCAGTCAACATTCTAGCACGGTCAGAGCATCACAAACCTGAGCTGAGGAGCCGTTGAGAGTTTATGGCTTTGGAGGGGAAGAAAAGTCATTTTCTTAAAGGGTGTGGCCCTTGGGTTAGCCGTATTCCAGGGAATGGCCCTACATCCATGAATATATGGGCAGCATAAATGAACTTGTTGAGTTATTTTAAGAAGAGAGGATGGGTGAAAGTTGAATGAAAAGCAGAAGTTAGGAGGGAAGTAAATCTGACCAAAATGCAGTTCATGCATGGATGAAATTCTTTAAGAATAAAAATGTTATACATTAGCTGGGCAGTGGTGGTGCACGACTTTAATCCCAGCACTTGGGAGGCAGAGGCAGGTGGATTTCTGAGTTTGAGGCCAGCCTGGTCTACAGAATGAGTTCCAGGACAGCCAGGACTACACAGAGAAACCCTGTCTTGAAAACAAACAAACAAACAAACAAACAAACAAAAATGCTATACATTGAAAAATCTAAAACACACATAAAACTGCATTGGCATTTCTGTACAAGTTATGTGAAGTTAATAAAATGAGATATATTGATCTAGGGCTGAGGATGTGACTGTGGAATAATATCTGCTATATTACAGAATATTCTGGCTTTCAATGACTATGCACATTAAAATAGAATTGCAGTCTTCCTAAAGGGAGGGGATGTTCTTGGAAAATGGGACTCTGTTGGTTTTATTTTTCCTCCTTACAGAGCAGTTGAAGTACTTGCACACACAAAAGGAGGTCAGATCATTGTCCCAAACTAGAAAATCTGTCTGTACATAGTAGATTTTTAAGCCTTCTCTTTGAATTAGCTTATTATGAATGTCATGACTCACACAGACAGAGTTAAATTAAGAGCATTACTGTAACTTGGGAAATGGAGGTAAGATGACCAGAAATTCAAGACCTGCCTTGGTTATGCATTGGGAGCAAAGATTACTCAATCCAACATTGCCATGACCTCTCCCAGATAAGAACATTATACAGATAAACTCAAGGCTGAAATTCCCTGCCTTTTCCATGCTACAAGTACATATTGGAAAATGCCTCAAGCATCTCAGAGCTCCTTTGTGCTTTGTGCAATTGCTATTAAATCTTATTGCAAAGATGATTTGGCCCAACTTATCTTATGAGATGCTAGCATTTCCTTGAGAAACTTGCAGTCAGGTTGTTTTTTTTTGTTTTTTGTTTGTTTGTTTGTTTGTTGGGTCCTCAAATCCTTAGGGAATCATTTCACTAAGAGTTCAGTCATGTGTATGTCCCCATATCCCCAAAGCATCAGCACAGAATTTCAAAACAAGGCACCAAAGGAGTGTGACCTTTCCAAGGATGATCACCCTACCGGAATCACTGAAACTGCATGAATAAGCAAATTTGTCAAGGTGCAAAGGCAGCTGCAGAGACAGCCGTGGATAATACTGCTATTTATAAAAGAGCTAGCATGAGTCATTACAGATTCAAACATGTTTTAACATAAAACACTAAATGGTCATCTTGGTGGCAGTTGGCTAAACTCCAGTGACCCTCTGGTCCTCCAGACAGGGACACGTGGTAACACTATTAGACACCAAGATTTATAATTTGTAAACGTGGCTATTAATGTCTTCATTTAACATTTCTGTTCCAAGTAATTCAAGAGTGAATGGCGTGGCAACATCTAGGTCAACAAAGGAGAGCTATGTGCCTGGTGTCACAGAGATTTTACAGTCAAGTGATGAGGTGCAAGGCTCAAGTGAGTGTGATGCATGCTGTCACATTTTCATAGTGCTGAATTGGCAAGTAAGGCCTTTTCTTTCTGACCATTTTCTGTGAGTCACAAATATTTATCTGAAAATATACAAAATTGGAGTGATCTAACAGATACCTATCAAACTCTCAGAAATAAGAAATTTTACTCATAACTTGTTTACCTGTCTCAAATCCCATTCTAGGGCCTTCAGTTCTGTGATCACTGTGCTGATTTCAGGGTGCTGAGTCCACTCCACACTCCCGCCACATGGCTCCTTTTCTGTTTGGAACTGTGGCTTCTTTTGTTGAAACATAAACTCAGTATTTTCTTGCTTCTCATCTTGCTTTAAGGGGAACCTGGAGTATTGAAACACATTGCAACTCATTTTGAGGAAAAGATGGTCATTATGGTTTCATTATACTACTAACAAATAATTTTGATTGATCACCTTTCCAAACAGTTGAATAAATTGACTTGAAATAAAATTTCACCACCATAAAATGTGCCAGATGTGCCCCAAAATGATTCGCATCACAAAGGAGCATCTCTGAATGTTCGCACAGTAGGGTAGCCATGACCCAAGACTGGAAGAACGAATCCAGTATCTGCTGTCTCTCACCCTGCTTGTTCTTAAACATTTCAACCACATCCCAGTGTTATTTATCTCATAGGAAGCTTGATAGTCTTTTGTGAACAATACATGATCTGGTCATTTAGTAGCAGTGCGTAGTTCTTTAACATAGAAATCTGAATCAGTTATAGATGCATGAAAGAGACATGTGGAACAAATGAACCAGTGACCTCTATTTTCTTTGTATTTCGTTTGTGTTAACAAAAAACCAGATGAGAATCTAGCTCATCCTCAGGCCTGTCATTTATGATGACCTTTTTTTGGGGGGTCCAAAGCAAAGTAAATGAGTAATTAATTAAAGAGAACAACTGTATACATTTAAAAGTAGTTGAGTTGAGAAATAATGACCCCTTCATGCTCTTTCGATAAAGCTGTAAATGAATTTTAAGCTTTTGTTTTTAATAACAAGCAAGATGTATTGATCCGAGCTTTAAAAAAGATTGCTATACTTTGAACAAGTAATGTACATGGATGTTTCCAAAATAACAAGGTCCAAATGGCATTTCTTGCAGCATTAACTATAATAAGAAAATATGAGAATGATCACAATTCTCATTCCTAAATGAATAATTAACAGCATAGCCACTCAATTCCAGTTTTGAAGATTATGAATTTATTTACTTAAAATATTCATACCCAATGAGGCAGTTACACATTCCTTAATAATTCTACACTCCACAGGACTGAAATGTTCTTCTCCTAGAACACTAGGCCATGAGCCCGCTCTTTAGAGAATCCCATAGCCTATCATGGTACAATGTGATGGTTCAAGTGTCCCTCTAAAGCTAAAATGGCATGGGGCTGGAGAAATGGCTCTGTGGTTAAAAGCATGGGCTCTTCTTGAAAGGACCTGGGTTGGATTGCCAGCACCCATAGGGAGGCTCACAGTCATCTGTAACACTAGTTCCAAGCAATTTGATGCCCTCTTCTGGCCTCTGGGGTGTTCCATGCATATGGCACACAGACACACATGTAGGCAGACACACACACACATATAAAATAAAAATAAAACATTTAAAAACCAACTAAAATACCATGCCTCAGAGCGCAGAGCTCGCCCCATGCCAGTTTCTTATGCTGTGAGCAGGATTTTGCGTCTTTAATTTCTGTCTGTTCTCTCTGCACTTCACTAGCCTTCGTTTCCACGTTTCCAGGTTTTCTTGTAAGGAGTTCACAGCAGCTATTCTTCAGCTCTAGCAGTCTTTCATCTAAGTGAGCCGTATCCCAGGGTTTCAACGGGCTACTAGAACCTGTAGGAGAGAAGACAGCACGAGAACAGATTACATGCAAGTATATCTTGTATGCAGGGACTACATTCGCACAACCAACCATTCATATGCTGAACAGTAAGCACTATGTTCCTGTAATAAAGAACACAGTGTTAAATTCTGCAGATGAAACAAATGAGTCCTTGTGTGATGGATAGTCTTGGTTGCCAACTTGACTATATCTAGAATTAACTAAAAAACAAAATGGCTGGGCACACCTGTGGGGGATTTTTTTTTCTTAATTAAAGCATTTGAAGTGGGAAGACCCAATTTCTAATCCCGATCCAGAGGTGGGAAGATTCACCTCTAATCCAGTTTTGTGGTGGGAAGATCCACCTTTAATCTGGGCTACACCTTCCTCTGGAAGTTTACATAAAGGGCCTGGAAGAAGGAAGCTCTCTAGCTCATTGCCCACGGGCACTCACTGGCAAGTCCATTCCTCTAGTGGCATTAGAGGTTACTTCTTTGGGATTCCAGCATACACTGAAGAGCAGCTGAGACATCCAGCCTCATGTATTGAACAACTACTGGATTCTTGGACCTTTCATTGGTAGGCAGCCACTGTTGGGTTAGCTGGACCACAGCCTCTAAGTCATTCTAATAAATCCCCTTTATATAAACATATTCATTCTATAGGTCTTGTTACTCTAGAGAACCCTGAATAATGTACTTGCTTTTGTCTAGTTTCAAATCTAGGGAGAAAAGACACAAGATGAGCATTCTATATTCAGGTAGATGCTGTAGGGAAGCAGTTCTATTAGAACTGATCTAAAATGAGATCCAAGCAGATTTTCCCATGGAGGAAAAAAACACACTGAGAAAAGGAGGATGAATAAATGGCCAAAATATTATTACAACTATTACAAATTATATTTATAGTTGAATTATTATATATACATTATATATAATATATACAAAATATATTTACAACTATTAAGATAAGGCTTATGAAGATAATGATCTTTGACGGAAAGAAAACAGATGAAAGGGTTTCCCAGCATCCTGTCTCCCTGTGAAGAGAGGTTGCAGGCCATCAAACATGAGGAACTGATGTGGAACCTTCTGGATTCTCTGGTGAGGAAGGTGAAGCTGGTGAGCTGAGCCTGGCAGAGGACAGAACACTGGAGGGAAGAGAACACTGTGGAAGAACACTGCAGACCTGCTGAGGCCCCTTCAACATTGCAGAGTATGGCCAAATGCTTGTGCCAGGAAGGCTTCGGTGACTGATGAGAAGGTCGGTAAAGCTTAGAGGGAACTGGAACATTGGAACAGGGCTCACAAAATGCAGAGAAGAGTCCATTCCCAGCAGACTGGCCTGATAACCCGTAAGTCAGGTATAATTGGTTAGGACAGTAGTTTTCAACCTGTGAGTCACAACCCCTTGCAAAGGGCTCACATCAGACATTTACACCACAATTAATAGCAGTAGCAAAATTACAGTTATGAAGTAGCAACAAAAATAATTTAATGGTTTTGGGGAGTTCTTCAACTCATCATGAAGAACTGTATTAAAGGGTCACAGTTTTAGGAAGGTTGAGAACCACTGGGTCAGGAAAAGGTGGTGCCTAACACTAGGGAGAACTGGAGCCTGTCAGAACAACAGGAAGGAAGGGTCAAGCTGTTTAGCATAACTTAAATGTATCTGTCTTAGTGACTTTTCTATCCCTGTGATAAAATACCGTGATCAAGGCCACTTATAAAACAAACTGTTTAATTTGGTGCTTACTTTCAGTGGGTGAGAGTCCATGACCATCATGGTGATAAGCAGGGCAGGAGGCAGGCAGACATGGTGCTGGAGCAGCAGCTTAGAGCTTACATCTTGAGACATAACCAAGAGGCAGAACAAAAGGGACACACTAGGAATGGGACAGCATGAGTCTTTCTAAACCTCCGAGCCCACCCCCAGGGACACACCTCCTCCAACAAGGCCACACCTGCTAATCCTTCCAAAACAGTTCCAACTGTGGATGGGTACAAAGTATTCAAATCTACAAGCCTGAGAGGGCCATTTTTTTTTTTTTTTTGGTTTTTCGAGACAGGGTTTCTCTGTGTAGCCCTGGCTGTCCTGGAACTCACTCTGTAGACCAGGCTGGCCTCGAACTCAGAAATCTGCCTGCCTCTGCCTCCCAAGTGCTGGGATTAAAGGCATACACCACCACCGCCCTGCTTCTTTTTTCTTTTTTTTTTTCTTTTTTTCTTTTTTTTTTGAGAGGGCCGTTCATATCCAAACTACCACATTACATTTCCTGGACTCCATAGGTTCATGGCCATATCATAATGCAAAAGTCTCCATAGTTTTTCAGAAAGGTCCTGCCACTGGGGTCAGAGGAGACTAGAAGCTGTTAGAAGAATAGCAAGGAAGGGTAAAACTGTTTATTGTGACTTAAATATATCCCATATTACAATTCAAAGAGAAGTAGACTCATCAGAGCTAACTTTTTAAAAATTAAATTTTACTCCAACATATCATCAGGAATCCAAATCAATAGCACAATGGTGGACAGATTTAACTACAGCTAACCCTTCAACAAGGCATGTTTAAACATGCCGGTCTGTGGTTGAATATGCTTGGCCCATTGGAAGTGACACTATTAGGAGGTGTGGCCTTGTTTGAGGAGGTTCATCACTGTTGGGGGTGGCCTTTGAGGTCCTATGCTCAAGTCCCACCCAGTGTGGAAGAGAGCCTCCTCCTAGCTGCTTATAGAAGACAGTATCTCCTTCTGGATCAAGATGTAAAATTGTCAGTGTCTCCAGCACCATCTCTGCCTGCCTGCTGCCATGCTTCCTGCCATGATGATAATGGACTGAACCTCTGAAACTGTAAGCCAGCCCCAGTTAAATGTTTTCCTTCATAAGAGTTACCTTGGTCATGGAATCTCTTCACAGCAATGGAAACCCTAAGACATATATACTGTGTTTTAAAAAATTTTTTTGAAAGGGGATAACATCTAAATGTAAATAAATAAAATATCCAAAAAAAATTGTTTTGAGCTTTCGAATAGTCCAAAAAATTTATAGAACCACGTGCTAGAGGACTACTGAAAAAACATAAGATGGATGTCACGAATGTATAAAACATACATACAAAATGCCTAATTTATAATCTGTTAACAAAAGAGAACATAGAAGGCCATAACAAGTAGTTTATCAGAGCTATGAACACACTTCTATCCCTAAGTGGTTGACCTGAAGTCATATATACTAAGGTTAAAAAAAAAAAGTTCTACAGCTGCATTGCTGCAGCAACCCCAAGATTACCTCTTCTCCTGCTAGAAGCCCCAATGGAAGGGTATTTGTTCAGCCACACCATGGATGGAATGCCAGCTATCTCTAGGAGATGAGCCTGTCTCTGGCCATTTGTGTTTTCACTGAGAATTCCTTTCAACAACAGTTCCCTAGCAGTTCTGTTGTAGAAGTCAAAGATGCTTCTAAATCTTGGATTGTCAGTGACTGTCACTCCCATGCCCAGTAAAATGTTATCGGAGAGTCAATAGCCCCTCAGTAAGTATACGGAATGGACATGAGTGAGAACCAGGTGAATGACAGATTGTCTGCCTGAATAAAAAAGTAAGCTCTGATGACACCCAGCAGCGGCGGCAGCAGCAGCAGCAGCAGCAGCAGCAGCCTCCGCTGCCTGTAGAGATTGCTCAGGGGTTCAGAGCACTGGCTGATTTTGCAGAAGACTCAAGTTGGATCACAGCACCCACATAGTGACTCACAACCTCCTGTAACTTCAGTTTCAGGGGATCTGATGCCCTCTTCTGGCCTCTCCTAGCACTGCATGCACATGGTGAACATGTATACATACATATGCATGAAATACATTGAAAAAATTCAGTTTAATTCTTAAGTGGCAGGGTCATTGTACTCTTGAGCTCACATCAGCTCTGGCTATCTGCATATGAACAAGACCATGGCAGTCAACATCCCAGCATGGACCGCAGAGGGACCATCATCCTGCCCAGTTTGTGTGTCTAGTGACACTTTACAAATACAAGACACAAAATTTGACCACAGAGCCCAAAGACATTCACTGACAACACCTGAAATTCTAAGCCCACTTATTCAGTAAGGGATGGAGCAGACAGTCAGTGAGACAGTGGGAAGAATTAGCATGCTTCAATATGCTAATACACATGCTTAGATCAGAAGTAAACCATCATAGGATTATTACGTGAAAACAACTTAAGCAATGAAAAATATGTTTCACAACAATTAAGAAATCAAATTGAAATTTAATGATTAAGATTTAGTAAATGTTGGCAAAAGTACCAAAACAACTCTGGCCTAACGTGTGATCAGTTTCTGTTCTCAACTTTATACAACCTAAAGTCACCTGGGAGGAGAAACCCCAGCAGAGCAATCAGCTTGGTCTGTGGGCATTCTGTGGGGCATGGCCTTGATTGTTACTCGATGCAGGAAGGCATAGTCTACTGTGGGTCTTGTCATCACAGGCTGTGTAAGAAAGGCCAGCTGAGCATGAGCCAGCGAGCGAACCAGGAACATTGTTCTTCCATGGATCCTGACTTGTCTCAGTGTCATGTTGTGACCTAGAAGTGTGAACTGAAATTGTTGGGAACAGTCAAAAGAAACGTATCCTGAGTACAACTATTTCATTTTCAGACTCCGTTTAATCACAGGGAGAAACTAAATTCAAGGTTCCAGGCACTCGGGGAGCTGGGGACTTCCCAACAGCTGAACAGCATCCGTTACAAGGAACTAAGCGTCTGAGAGCAGACACCTCAGGGACAACTTCTCCATCTTGCTGGCAGAGTCAAACAAGTACATGTTCCCAGGCCCGAGACTCCACTGTCCTGATTGGGGAAAACTCTCTCGCTCAACCCCTTATGTCACAATATGATTGGACAATGCTACAGTGCACGTCCCATCCCACTCTGTGGTCTCATCCTTTAAATCTGCTGTGCAATTTCTCTTCATGGCTGTAGATCTGCTCCCGAGTCTGTTTGGTGGCATCAGCAGCAGCTTGATTACAATAACTTTTTGCTGTCTTCATTGACCTGGTATTTGAGTTATGTTAAATTTAAGAGGATCTCATAACAAAACAAACCCAGGTTGCTTTGATTTGCATGGATTATCACAGTGACAGAAAAGGGAACTAGAATGCTTGGTGACACAGGTCCATAATCCCAGCTACACAAGAAGCTGAGGCAGGAGTATCAAAAGCCATTTCATACCTAAGCCACACTAGGAGTTCAAGGTCATCCTAGGAACTAACCAAGACTCTCTCTAAGTAACAAAGAAACCAGAGAGCTTGAGATACAGCTCAGTGGTACTTCCTGCACCTGGCATGCACAGGGGCCGATATTTAATCCCCAGAATTGTTCCACGGGCAAACACACAAACATTATACAAATAGAAAATAAACATAGGAAGAAGCTTAATAGTATGTTAAAAATAACCTTCAGGATCAGGAACGGGTTGCCTCTTTTCGAGTTGATGGCCAGTGGGCCATGTTATACTCTATTGCCAATACTCTTGGTTACCCCTAGAGCTTGACGTTGAAACAGTAAATGGAAGCCTCCTCCCTATTGGCCAGCTTTCATGGTGCTAGAAGGTGCTATGTATGCTACTGGAGGAGAGAAGTGGTCATTAGCTTCACCCAGCTGTGAACCCTGTAACCTGCAGACAGACTAGTGCCTGACAAGACACACCCACTGGTGAAACAGTGCCACAAATGTCATAGGGTTAGACAACCATTTTCTGATTAGATCTAAAGTCAGAACTGTGAAATGAAATCCATACCTGGCACTGTTAAAGGGGCCAAGAATCTGTGGGTAGATGGGTCATAGGCCTTAGGGAAGAACCTCACACTATCATTCTGCTAAATGGACATAGCTTTAAAATGACTCCTAACGACTTCCTGGAATACACATAAATCAGATCATCTCTCAGCCATCATCAGAGAAGCTTCTCCTCGCAGCGGATGGCGGTTAGTACAGACTCTCAAATAGCCAACGTGTGGAGAACAAGACACTGTAGAATGCTCAGCCCCAAGTGGGACACATATCTCACCCCTCTCCCAGGGCTCACTGCTCTGGGAGGAAGAGGTTGTGGATAACATCAAGGCAACACCATTTTCCAGACACAGCAGGGCAGTTACACATACAAAGCCATAGTGGTTGACACAGATCTGTACAAGTTCAAGCTAGAAAAAAAAATCAGAAGTGGGGAGGTGGGCATACAATCCCACTACGTGCTCAGGAGCGACTGGCATTTGATAGCAGTGGGGACAGAAAAGAGTCAGGTTTTATGGAGGGACCCCTGATAGGTTGTCTACATTCCAGGGCAGGACCCACTCCCAAGACTAATGGGGCAATGCATTGGACTCCATGAAGTATTGGGGGGAAACTCAAAGCTGGGGGGGGGATGAAGGGAGGGTGGTTATGGGAGGAGCTGGGGGAGGGTGGGTAATATGATCAACATATGTCATATGAAATTCTCAAAGAATTGTGAAAAATATTGTGTTTTAAAAAAGACACAGTAGCCACCGGGCAAAAGACACAGAGACACCGGGCATCGTCCTCATGACGGGAGTGGAAACGATGCAGGTACTTTGCAAAATGAACTGGCAGCTTCTTAGTGGGGGCTATAAGACAGCTGAGGAAATGTCTGTGGAGGAAAGATACCCATTGATACCCATGTTGACGATGGTGGCAAATATGTGTTTAAGCATGCAGACACCTAGGCACGGGACACACTTTGCATACGTGTAATTTATTTTGGTCAAGAAGACCTCAGCAGAGTTACTGAAAACACAAGGTTCTGTTACAATATCATATGCTGAAGGCGTAGTGGGCAGAAGAGGGACCCATGAAAAGCTAGAGGATCTAGGGAGAGTGAGCGTTTAGCAGTGAGAAGTGACACCTGGGACAATTCTGAAAATAGACCGACCCATTCTAGTGACAGAGTGGATCAAGGTTTGAGGAGGTAGAGTTCTTTTTAAGATTATGACAGCAAGATGCCTCTCACACTGGGATCAGCAGGAGTCCGCAAAGCTTGTTGGCAGGGAGTTTGAAGTGGTTCTCTGTCTAGTATGGTATCAAGGACATCTCTTGTGGGCCCAGAACCTGAACACTTCACCGTTCTGTGACTCAAGGCTGAGGGATGCAAACATGGGGCCCACATGCAGCAGAGGCCCCCTGCTCACAGAGCCCTGTTCATGCCCTTCCAAGGTGCTCTACTTGGCAGCAGATGGACTCATGCATGGCAAGAGCGGGGCAACTCACCCCGGCCTGCGGCTGTCGCACAAGGCTCGCTTCCACGGCTAGCTTCTTCCATTTCATTTACTTGGGTTTCCATCTGTAAAATAGCACTATTTCAAAACATCCCCCCAAATTTATATAGCATGTAGTAAATGCACAGAAGTGGTGGTTTAAAACTCAAATGTATAAGCAGAAATGTGCAGAATTCTATGATTACGTCAGATGGTACCCTGGTTAACATCTCCTGTTTATTAATAATTAGTTTTGAGACAAGGTTTCATTATGTAGTTCTAGCTGGCCTAGAACTTGCTATGAGACCACATTGGCCTTGTAAAGATCTGCCTGCCTCTGGGATTAAAGGTATGTGCCACCCAGACCTAGCCCTTATGTCTCCTGTTTCTTAATTTCTTCTTCAAAATGTGCTCTTTTTACAAGTCTTTTTCCCTTACCTCTGTAATACATTTCAGTGGATACATCATATTGTGTTTGACAAAAATATCTTAGATAATGTTTTGATACTTTTTATTGATTACTAAGAGTAGTATTAATAGTTGCTTGCAGTTATATTTAAATTAAAAATATTTAGTATTGTACGTAATAGTAAAGCTGCCCCGCTGTGCATGTGGAGTGTAGTCTCTCCTGACCCCTTTGCATGGGTTCAGGGATCTAATGTGGTCACCTGGCTTTTGGCAAACATGCTCACTCGCTGAGCCACCTCACCAGCCCCAGAGAGTTATTTAAAAAAAAAAAACACCAAAACGTCAACTTAAGTACCCTTTTTACTTTGGCTTTTGGAGACAGGGTTTCTCTGTTTAGCCCTGGCTGTCCTGGAATTAGCTTTGTAGACCAGGCTGGCCTCAAACTCACAAAAATCCTCTGGCCTCTGCCTCCCGAGAGCTGGGACTAAAGGCCTGTGCCACCATGTCTGGCTGACTTAAATATTTATTACAAGTTAGGAGTAAGAATAAATAACTGAAACCTGACAGGGAAAATTATTTCTCGTCATCTGGGTAACGGGCAAAAGGCAAGCTCTGGCTACCCTGCATCTGATGCTCCCCTTTGCTGCCACTCAGGTTTCAGTTCCTGTCCTGTTGTCGTTAGATGGAAAGCAATTTCAGAGGAGAGGGTGAGCCTGCCTACCTTTACCTCACCTGTCTATCAGCTGTCCCATAGAGCTGGTGAACAAGCGTTTTGACTCTTGGCCATCCCTGTTTGTGGATCCCCGGGCATCAGTGTTGGTAACTGAAGTTCTGACAGAATGGACTTTGGCACAGGGGTGGGGCGAGCTGGGGTGGGGCAGGGCGGGGTACGGTGGGCGGGGTTACCAACTTCAGGTCTTATTTGACTTTCCTCACTCTCTTCCTCGCCTTCCTCTCTTCTCGGGTGGAGGAGGCCCCTGAAGAACCATGCCTACAGCCCAGCTGCACACTTGGTCTCGCTGTTTAGCTTGTTCTTCTGTACTCTGATGGTTCTCTACCCCACTTATCCCTAACTCCTGCAGAGCGCCGCGGGCTGGGATGCTGTGGTGGATGCCCATAGGGTCACCAGACTCATTAACTCCTGCACCGCGGGCTGGGATGCTGTAGTGGATGCCCACAGGGTCACCAGACTTAGAAATGGGAAACCTGCAAAGCTTTGCCTGACTTTGGGCCTTTTTGTTCAGCTGACTTTGGGAATATTTGTCAACTCTTCATATCCACTCCCCCACCTCCTGCTCATGACTCCACTAATTTTTCGGATGAATGAAGGAGCCTGGGACTTGGCCATGTCTAGCACAGGTAAGAGCTGCTATGTATTCACTGTGTACCCCTTCCTGCCTCAGTATCAGACTCCACAGTGTCCATCACCTTTAGGGAGAAGTGACTGCCTGGCACATGAATACTTTGCCCTTTGTTATTCTTCTGGATGAAACTCTTGTTTTCTCACAGCAAAACCAAAAGTCTTTCTTGCTATGTTTGTAGGACAGACACTACTCATGTGAAGACTGTCAGGCTGGACTTCCTACCCGATACCCACGGTGCCAGGCTTGGATTGGGCAGTACCAGGGATGGGCAGTGGAGGTTACAGGTTTACTTCCTCGCTGCAGGGTTATGGAGATGCTGGAGGCAGCTGTGGTAGCTACAGATTCTCCTGGTGAGATGTCACTTGGCCTGTGGCCCAGATTCCCTGGGCTCTGCTTCACTCCTACAACCAAACTCCATTTCTGGTTCCTCATTTACGGTACCTTGTGCTTTTCTTTAGCATCTCTCTTTGTCAGCCTTAAAAAAATAAAATAAAATCTTTTCAGGCAAATGTTAAGTATATAAAATGCAAACGGTGTCTTCTTATATAACATCTCTATAGTTGTAATTTACTTCACATGTCCATGTTAACTAATTTAAAATACAATCATTTCCTATAAAGTGGATTCAATTATAAACAAAAGATAAATGTAATGGACAGAGAGTAACAGTACTTGTGGTAGTTAATTCTAATTATCAACTTGATTCAACCAAGAATCAGCTGAGAAGAAAAATCTCAATCAGGGATTTCTAGATCAGGTGGCCTGAGATAATGTTCATAGCATCCAGTCTTGATTATGCATTAAATGATGTGGGAAGACTTAGCCTATGTTGGGTGGCACCATTCCCTATGCAGTGGGTCCTGGACTACTCTGTGTGTGTGTGTGTGTGTGTGTTATATAAAATACAGTAGCATTCTATTTCTGATTCATTTTAGTATGAACTCCATTCTCTTTCTCTCTCTCTCTCTCTCTCTCTCTCTCTCTCTCTCTCTCTCTCTCTCTTTATGTGTGTGTGTCTGTGCCTGTCTCTCTGTGTATACAAGCTCAAGTGACAGTTTACCTTTAGCCTGACATAATGTATCAAGATCTCAAATACTTTGTCATACAAACATTTCAATTGTATTCCCTCACTGTTTCCTACACTGGATTCTTTTCATCCTCATGTAAATATCTTCTAAAAAGTTTCATTTTAAAAGGAAAAATTGCTTGTAAATTTCACATCCTTTACTAGTTGCCACCCATTTGTAAGTTGCTTTTCTGAGAAAAAAAATCTCCAAGGACTGGTCTATCCTCCACACTGTCTGGTTTCACTGCTGAAATCCCTGCTTGTTGTAGTCATGCGCCTGCATCTTCGTCTGCCAGCAGTGCTGGCAGGGTGCGCCTTGTTTGGAACACAGATGACTCCAATCTGCTTTGTTTCATAAAAGGTAATTCCTGTTAGCAATCCTTCACAGGAAAGAAAGACTTCACAGTTTTTACCTTCTTTCAACCTGATCCATATTGGTGAGAAGGTGGCCATCCTTCATCAGTAGTGGATCAACAGCTTCTGGAGGGGACTTCTCAAATACCGGTGTGACCACAGGCTCCTGAGGGGCCCATGCTACCCTCTCACTCTCCTTCGCTTCCTTTATACTCGAGTCAGGAACACACCTTTGAAAAATTCACAAATACCAACATTGTCTCGTACATCAGTGGATAAAGGCTAAACAGCAGTTTGATAACATTTCGGCTCTTCTCCACCTAAATCTACTTAATAGTTGCAAAACATTGTAAAGTCCCAGGTAAGGAAGGGAAAGTCAGATTCATTCTTCAACTAGGCAAGTACAAGATTGTGAGTTTGTGGACCAAGAGTTGAGTCTGAGCATGTGCAAACCATGTCAGACAAGATCCAACAAAACACAACAGCTCATCAGGCAAAACCTGGGGGAAACCTGTTATGAGGACCACTCATTGGAGAGATGGCTCAGCAGGTAAGACTACTGGTTACTTTTGCATAGGACCCAAGCTTGATTCCCAGCACCCACATGGTGGCTCACAAGCATCTGTAACTTCAGCTCCCTCTTCTGGTTCCCTTGGGCACTGCACACACATGGCACACATATACATACAGGGAGAACACTCACACACATAAGATAAATACACAAATTAAAAAAACAAATTCTAATTGATTTTGTTATCCTACATTTAATTTTAAGTATTTATAATATTATTACAAATATGTGTATGAAACATGCATGTGCAAGTGTGTGCACACATTATGAGTGTGTGAAGGTCAGAGGGCAAATTCATGGCCTTGGTTTCCACTTTCCACCTTTATGCGGGCTTCAGGATGGAACCTTGGTCATCAGGTTGCCTGGAAAACACTCTAACCCACTGGGCCATCTTGTTGGCCTTTAATTTTAATAAAATGCAAGTCAACTTTGGATTTTATTTAACACAATTTGCCATAATTGCAACTATCATAAGTACCAGCCAAAGAATAATGAATCAGAACTACAACGTTGAATTTTCTATGAGAAAGAGGGTTAATATAAGGAATATGGACTGCCTCGCGGTGGTGGTGCATGTCTTTAATCCCAGCACTTGGGAGGCAGAGGCAGGTGGATTTCTGAGTTCGAGGCCAGCCTGGTCTACAGAGTGAGTTCCAGGACAGCCAGGGCTACACAGAGAAACGCTGTCTCGAAACAAAACAAAACAAAACAAAACAAAACGAATATGGACTACTAAATGCCAGAACAATTAATTCAAAACTCACATATCTGCAAATTTAGATTGTAAGAACTGATCAAAATGAACCATTTTAAAAAACATTACTAGTCAAATGCTTAAAACAACACCAGCAATATGTCACAAAGCATTTGCTGTTTACTAATATAATAAATGCTTATTGAGAAGTCATTTACTGTATAATATCCCCATCTATACCTACTGTGCTAGTAGCTGCAGGAAGTGGTTCTAAAGTGGGTAAAATCTGTAATGTCAATCAAAAAGCCAACAGCTCAAATATAAAGATGCCAAAAGAGGAAAACTCAAGCAGGAAGATGAATGTTATGCACGGGGTTGGAGGTGTGCTGGCAGGAGTGTCAGGGTGGACAGAGGCCTTTCCAGGAAGTGCTGGAGCTGTAGCACAGTTGCTAGAGAGTACTTACTTAGCGTGCACAAACCCAACTCAATCCTCAAAATTTCAACACGGCCTGTGTTTGTAATCCTAGTCTTGGCTACATGTGACCAGCTTCAGAGAGGCAGAGAGGCAGAGAGGGAGAGAGAGAGAGAGAGAGAGAGAGAGAGAGAGAGAGAGAGAGAGAGGTAATGGACCTTCATGTTTTAGAACAATAGCAAAATACCCGAACCCAGCAGCTGAAAGGGAGTGGTGAGGTAGTTGAGAACATAAAGTAACAAAGGAGATGAAAAGACAGCACAGAACCCATGAGGCAGAATAGTTTCTTCCAAGAGACGAACAATACTGATATTGACAAGCCATCAGCAAACTTTGTAGAAATAGGCAGAAAACTCAACTTCCTTTTTTTTTTCTTTTTTTTTCTCGAAACTCAAACTCTTAAAAGTAGAGATGATAAAAAGTAACACTGCAATAGATACCAATAAAACACAGGCTGATTAGCAAATGCTTTGGAAATCTATATTGCTGAAAATCCAGAAGAGATGCACACCCCTGGACCACATGACCTACCAACATTAAGTCAAGACCACAGACAGACTGACAGTGAGGAAAGAGGCTGATGGGGCTCTTGAGGAGTCTCTTGGCAGGTGGTCACTCAGGGGCCAGACCAGTGTAGACTCCAGCAAGCCCGAGCTGAGGTCTGGGGATATGCAGGGTGTGTCTAGAGGTCAGTCCTGACTTCTGGGGAGGTAGTGGATCCCAGGCTGACCCCAGGAGTCTGGAGTGTGGGCTCCAGGTTCAGATCTTGGGCCTCAGGTTAAAGCTATGAAATGAGGAAGGTAGAACACAGGCCTAATGATGTCAGCAATGGTGTTCCAGTGAATGGACAGAGTGCGGATTTTAGTTAACAGTTCTGGCAACCACTGTAAAAATTGCATTTAAATCTGAGAAAAATACTCAGAAACAAAACAAAAAACAAAACAGAATCTCTCAGCACTGGGAAGGACAGGGCTGGGCTGAATCCCTGCATAATCTACCAAATTCAAATAAGGACTAGCACGGTGACCTTATACTGTCCCTAGAAAACTAGTGGTGACACATCATCTTCTTATTATTGGTCATATTATCCTGACATCAAAATCAGAGAAAAAAAATAAAATATGCAAATGAATAAACAATCAAAATTGTCAATTTTGCTGCTGACACAAAAATTCTCAAAAAGTCCTTGAAAAACAAAATCAACAACATATTGAAATATCATACACAGTTATCAAGTTAGTTTAATTTTAGCTGTGCAAGGATAGTTAAAAATACATGTCTTGCCAGGCAGTGGAGGCGCACACCTTTAATCCCAGCACTTGGGAGGCAGAGGCAGGCAGATCTCTGAGTTCAAGGCCAGCCTGGTCTACAGAGTGAGTTCCAGGACAGCCAGGGCTATACAGAGAAACCCTGTCTCAGAAAAACCAAAAAATAAAAAATAAAAAAATAAAAATAAACCCATGTCTTAATTTGAATTTTATTGCTGTGAAGAGACACCATGACCAAGGCAACTCTTATAAAGGGCAACATTTAATCAGTTTGGCTTACAGGTTCAAAGGTTTAGTCCATTATCATCATGGCCAGGAGCATGGCAGCATGCAGGTAGACATGGGGCTAGTGAAGGAGTTGAGGGTTCTATATCTTGATCTGCAGACAGCAGGAGATTATGCACCATACTGGGTGTAGCTTGAACATAGGAAACCTCAAATCCCACCCCAACAGTGACACACTTCTCTCAACAAGGGCACACCTACTGTAGTAAGGCCACACCTCCTAATAGGTGCCTCTCCCTGTGAGCCAAGCATTCAAACACATGAGTTGATGGTGGTGGCAGTGGTGGGGTATTCCTATTCAAAACACATACACAAAATAAAAAGTGACATACATCCCAAGATACCCAGAAATCATCTGATCACCTCACTAGATGCAGCCATTTGTTAAAGTTCAGCATGCCTCATGGTAAAGTCCTGAAAGAGCATACCTTAATATAAAAGACTGCATTTGAGCAACCTATAGCCAACATTATACAAAACGGAGAAAATTTTAGTGCATTTCCCTATATCCAGAAACTGTTTTATTTAACATAATGCTTGAAATTTAGACAGAATACTGTAGCAAGCCAAAGACATACAGGGCTACAGACAGGAGAAGAGGAGGTCAAATCATTTCAATTTGCAGACTAAGTGGTTGTGGTTGTCCACTAAAAGGTTTTTACTACACCAGAAACTTTTTTGATATGAGAGTATTTTTAAAAAGTATCAGGATATAAAATCAACATATAAAAATCAATGGCTTTCCAATATACCAGTAACTGAACATGCTGAAAAAGAAATCAGAAAAAAAAAAACCCAAACCATTCTCAATGGCCTCAGAAGATGCACATCCTTTCAGTCAATGTGTATTTTATGTGTGTTTCGTTTTATGTGTATGAGTGTTTTTGCCTGCATGTTTGTCTGTGCACCACTTGCATGCATGGTGACTGCATATGCCAGGGTGTTGGGTGAAGTTACAGGTGGTTGTCATTGTGTAGGCGCTGGGAATTGAACCTGGGTCCAGTGCACGAGCAGCCAGTGTCCTTAGTTGCTGAGCCATCTCTCCAGCCCAGAGCTCGTTACACAATATAGTATTTAGTGGGCATGACATTGTAAATAAATTCTGATTGGTAAGTCCACTCTCTCTGGACTTACAACTATCCTAGCATAAGTACCTGTACATTCTATATGGATATATAAACTGTTTACACAAACATTTTAATATATGTGTTTTTGTGTTCACATATTGACTATGTATTCACCTATTGCATATAATATGTAATAAATGTCCTTAATGTCTTCTAAGTGTTTTCATGTTTTCCTGTCCAAGAAAGACCCAGCTCTAGAAATGAAGACTTTAGCTTCAAAGGATGACACCAAAGCAAATGTTGATACGTGCTACTCAATTACCCACAACTACCTTGCTCAGCCATATTCTTAAACAAGAGCGTCCTGGAGGGACCATCGATTTACATTAATCAATTCTTATTCTTTCTAAAGAAAATATTTATCAATTTAATTGGATTAATATATATTAAATTATTTGTGTCCTTCTGATAACCATGCAGACACCTGACTAGTCCTAGCAGAAGTCTACAGTTTATTAGTCCAAATCAGGGTTAGTGTTTGGAACAGAAGAGCGACTGACTTTAAACTATTTCTGCAATCTTACCTAGCAAGCTCATGTTTCTTCTCAGCAGGAAACAGCTTCCCAGTCCTTCCGCCTTTCCTTTTGAAACTCAACTGGTTGTCATTACACTTGGTGACCATGAGACAGTTCTCTGAGACTTCTGATTCCAGACTCAGCTGCTTCTTGCTGATTTCTTCAACCTTTGATGAAAGTTTGAGGCAAGGGTGAGTGTTACTGCTCAGGAAAAGTGTTACTGTTCTCCTCACTTGCCATTGATGTCCACTACGTGATTTAGCGTGGGTCGTGTAGGGGTGGAGCAGTGGCACGGGGTGAAGAGCAGTCACGAGCCCATGCACATGGCAGCTCACAACGTTCACAACTCTAGTCCCAGGGGATCCAGCACTCTCCTGTCCTCTGAGGGCACCTCAAGCACATGTCACGCACATGCATACATTCAGGCAAAATATTCATAAAGAAAAAAAGATGTATTTTGAAAGTCCTTGCTTTGTTTAATTTTAGCATTAGAGACTTTTTTTTGTAAATTATGCTTTGTTTTATTTCTGTTTGACCTAAGAAATAAAAACCCAGAGTTTTATAAAACTTCAAAGATGAGCATTCTTAGATCTGTGTCTTTCTGCATTCAGTCTTTGCTGTCTGGCATTTCCACTGTCTATTCGATGGAAGAACTTTGAAGAACAGGAGAAAACATATAACCTTCAGGATTTACTGCCAAGATTGCACAGTCAGGTTCCCAGCATGTGCCCTCATGCATGTTAGGAGGGAAAATGAGGCATATCTCTTCCCCTTCAATTTTGACAACTTGTAAAATCACTTTGATACTGAGGTATCAAAAACTGTGAAGGAGCCGGGCGGTGGTGGCGCACGCCTTTAATCCCAGCACTTGGGAGGCAGAGGCAGGTGGATTTCTGAGTTCGAGGCCAGCCTGGTCTACAGAGTGAGTTCCAGGATACCCAGGGCTATACAGAGAAACCCTGTCTCGAAAAACCAAAAAAACAAAACAAAACAGAACAGAGGAAAAAAAAGAAAAAACTGTGAAGGAGTTCACTGAAACAGATGTGCCCAATCCAGCTGAGTGGTAGGTGAGGCTGCTAAACTGGTTTCAAACGCTGGGAACAAGATGCCTCCCATCAGGACAAGTGCTAACTATCATATTCCACAGACTGATGGTACCCAGGTCATTCCTACTTCAGCTTCAAGTATCCATTCAAAGCCCTTAGGGGCCATTGCTAGTATTTCACAATGCCACGAGACACGATGCAATCCCACAATGCTCTGTCAGATAAATGACTCAACAACTCCATTCAGTTACTCAGCTCAATTAAAGACATGTGAATTTGTGTGAGGAGTAGAGGAAGCCCTGAACTAATGAAATTTTAGTGGATGTGTGTTGTTGATCCTGTGTATTGTAAACACCGACACAGCCATATCCAGGACTCCAATGCCTCAGCCCCATGGGAGTGGCAAAGCTTCTTGGGATAGGCTGAGAAGGAATCTGAGTACGAATGTTCACAGTCTGCATAAAATGTCACCACGGCTGTCTCCCCGTCTGATGGGGAGACTACTCCCCTACAGCCTGCTCCTATTGAGATTAGCTAACCTGCCTCTTTGATTGAGCTGTACCCCATCACCACGCCTTCCTGCTTATCTGAGTGCAATAACCCTGTCTCAGCTGTTTGCAAGAATCTTGCTTCCTTGTTCATCTGTACAGAGTAAGTAAGCATCTGGTGCTTTAGTTTCTCCATCGCAGAGCTCAGAAGTTGCCCAGCTTTTCTCTGTCTGTTTTCCCTTCCTCCCTCACTGGGGCAGGCTGGATAATCCCTGGAGCCACAAGGATACAGCGAATTTGCAAAATAATCTCATGCTTTCTTAGGAAATGGGAGGTCTCATCTATACGTATTTTCAACATTTCTCTAGATTTCTGTGAACCTGGATCAAATATATTTTTTGGCAGATGATGGATGTTCTTGTATGATATAAAATCATCGCCGGGAGGTGGTGGTGCACGCCTTTAATCCCAGAACTTGGGAGGCAGAGGCAGGCGTATTTCTGAGTTCGAGGCTAGCCTGGTCTACAGAGTGAGTTCCAGGACAGCCTGAGTTACACAGAGAAACCCTGTCTCAAAAAAACCAAAAAAATAAAAAAAATAAAATCATGTGCTCTGAAACTAGTTTTACCAAAGAACATGTTCTATGGGATGCTTTAACGAGGATACTTTGTCAATCAATGTTAAAATCCGTGGAAGTACATATACCCACTGACAAAATTTTACCAAGAGGGAATTACGTCTTCCAGAGGTCTGGATGGAGACCGCCAAGCTTGCGCACACCAACGCATGGTGGCTGGGTTGATTTGGATGAACTTAGAGACATTCTCATTTCTTCTCATTTATTGCTTCATTCCCATTGAGTAATATTCTCTTAAGTCAATGAAAGCACTTCTATCAAAAGCTGACAATCAACACCATACTCCTGTGTTTAGCTTAAGTCAAAAGATCACATGACGTGGGATAAACTGATTTTCTAGGCCAGATGCTGGAAAGAAACACTGGAGTTGATTAGTAAAAAATCATCCTGAAACCCTGTCTCAAAAAACAAAAACAACAAAAAAATCATTCTGAAAATACTTTTCTGAACTTTTATTATTTAGACAGTAGAAACCACCTCTATCCAGATACAGTTTTATCCGTGGATAATCTCACTGTATAGGGAAGCCTTTTGTTTGTCTGAGACAGGGTCTCTATATGTAGCCCTGGCTGCCATGCAAGCTGATATAGATCAGGCTAGCCTTGAACTTGAAGAGATCTGCCCACCTCTGCCTCCCATGTGCTGGAACTAGAGGCATGCACCACTCACTATATGAAAGCTTTTAGTCAGCAAAAATAAGGGTAACACTGATTTTTGAAAGCAAGAATAGAAGGACCTCTTTTTGAATGTGAAACTTCTATTTTCTTTCTGTTTCATTGAGACAGAGGCTTACCTGTGTCGTCCTGGCTGGCCTTGAACTCACAGAGATACAAACAGATCTACAGTGCTGGGGTTAAAAAGCATGCATCCCCAAGTCCAGGCTGGAATCTACTTTTTTTTCTTTTTCCTTTTTTTTTTTTCTTTTTTTTTTGGTTGTTCGAGACAGGGTTTCTCTGTGTAGCCCTGGCTGTCTCGGAACTCACTCTGTAGACCAGGCTAGCCTTGAACTCAGAAATCCGCCTGCCTCTGCCTCCCAAGTGCCGGGATTAAAGGCGTGCGCCACCACCGCCGGGCAGAATCTACTTTTAAAATGCCTATCTTGTTACTAATTTCAGCTTGTCTTGCTGCCTTTCTTAGTTTATACAGACTGATGTCCTGTCACGGTGTGGGGAACTCCTGACATTTTAGGATTCAGGCCCCAGGTTTTATACTTGTGGCTACTGCAGCAGTCAGGCAAGCCCTCAATTACTTAGATTACTGTATCAACTTCTTTAGTTGCAGAAATGCTGTGATTGAAAATTATTATTGTGTGTATTAATTGGTTGCATGTGTGTACCACATGTCTGGCACCCAAGCAGACCAGGAGGAGGCCTCAGTTCCCCAGGACCTGCAGTTACAGATAGTTACGAGCTGTCCTGTGGAGCTCTAAAAGAGCAGCCAGCACTCGTAACTGCTGAGCCATCTCTATAGCCCCTGTGCAATGTTACATATAATTTCAGTCATGTGATTCATTTGAATGATTCATTGAAGTATATAAGCCACAGCCCTTTTGGTATTCTAGTCTTAGGCTCTGTCCAATACCCAATTTCCAGTTCCTACTTTTAGCATGCCAATATCAAGCACATCACTTTCTTACATTTCAGTTCTTTTTTTCTTTTTAAGATTTATTTATTTATTATATATGAATACACTGTAGCTGTCTTAAGACACACCAGAAGAGGGCATCAGATCTCATTACAGATGGTTGTGAGCCACCATGTGGTTGCTGGGATTTGAACTCAGGACCTCTGGAAGTGCAGTCAGTGCTCTTAACCACTGAGCCATCTCTCCAGCCCTACATTCAGTTCTAACACTTCCTGGGACTTTGTAGTCTTGTCCCTTGAATTACAAGAATCCCCTTATTCGTGTGCAAAATGTGTGAAGTGTTTGCTTTCATTACTTAGAAAATGCACAGGATGGCTGCTAAGCTCATGCTCAGACCAAGAGCACGAAGAAGAGGGAAGACATTTTCTGTGTATGACATTTCCCGTGTATCGTTTTTTCAAGTTTGGGAAATGTCAACATTACTTCAGACAGGCAAACCAGACACACCTTCAACTCACATCAGGCAGAGTCTTAGTTAAGTTACAGGTAATTACCTTGAACTGAGGTCTTCTCCTACAGTTACCCGGAAGTGGTTCTTCCACAGGACAAATGGTTTCCAACACATCCCCAGCTGAGTGCTGCGGCTCTGAGCTGCTTTTGTTTGGCTTGCTGTTATTCTCTGTCATGTCTCGAGTGAGAGACTCTCTCCCAGGCACTTTCATTGAAGGAACTTCTGGATGTCCAGGTGCACATTCTTTGTCATATTTCTTATTTATTTCAAGGTCTTCAGACATTTTTTTCAGATGCAAAGGTGAGGGGTGAATTTGCTTGCTCTCCTTCTCAGACAGGGGATAGATTGGCAAGGTTGGATCTGCAGGTGTGTTCTGCATTTGGGGGCATGTCTTCAAAAGGGCTGGATCCTTCAGGGGTCACAAGATATAGATGAGAAAAATAGTAAGAAATAAATATATATTTTACATTTAAATTTCTTAATATATGTTTAATGTCAGAATCACTGGGCAGTGTATTTTTAAAAAGAAAATCTTCAGCAACATGAGAATAAAAATATGAACTGGAAAAGTTCTGTTAGTCACTGTTGTTTGGACAAAACAATTATGTGTTAATTATTAATCAATCCGCTGTGTGTTAATTTACCAAAGATGAATTGTTTATTTTTAATATTATAAATTTGTCCTTATATAAAAATATTTGACCTCTTAGGCCTCAAAAAGTAAATGCCAGTGAGCTTCAGCCCATTATCTGATGAATAACTGAGCAGAGTGAAATTATTAGAACCAACCCCAAAGCTTTACATTGCTGAGAGCCAGAGCATTAACAGCAACCACACAAAAACTAATTGCTAAGTCTTAATTTAAATTACATACCAGGATGCTGTGACATCTCTATGGGCTTTGAGTGTTATGGGTGAATATACTCTAGCACTCACAAAAGACATTAGGTAACAGCATCGGCCACTTCCTAAATACCTAAGCTTATATCCACAGACAAAAGCCACTCCGCCTTAACCAGAGGAACCTCCCCTCACCATAAATAATGGCAAAGGCAAAGACTCTAGGTTTCCCAATATGCTGAGAGTAAGTGACCATTGAATGCTCGGCCTTAAATGAGGCATTCCTAACACCACCGCTCGCCCCATAAGTCTCAGGGAACACTGAGGATGAAGGGATCTAAAGTGTAAGACAGACAGACAGGTGAAGGGCTGTGAGATGCCATCCTAGACTCAGCACAGCCAAAGCAATCATTAACTTGCAATGGCTGTGGCCATCTGCATTGGGGTCACACAAGACTGGCCTGTCAATAATCAATCATGGAAAGGGGAGGGGTTTGGGGATCCTATGTTTACTGCTAACTATTGGCTATTGATAGATCCTGAGAAAAGGGAAATCATTGTCTTCAGTTGTGTACCCACAGCTGAGCCCACTGGGATCCTATATGTGCCATGAAAACCTGATTACATAGACACTGTTGGTAAAAACAAAGCAAAACGAATGGACATGGCTGTGTGAGAGAGTACAGGATGGGGGTGGATGGATGGTAGGGAGATGGGAGAGGGTTGTGGTGAGAGGGGTCAGTATGCATTGTGACTGTTAAGGTCTAGGTAACTGTTACCTGTCTATTCTGCTGTCTTAGATAGGGTTTTACTGCTATGAACAGACACCATGACCAAGACAAGTCTTATAAAGGACAACATTTAATTGTGGCTGGCTTACAGGTCCAGAGGTTCAGTCATTATCATCAGGTAGGAGCATGAGAGCATCCAGGAAGACATGGTACAGGAGGAACTGAGAGTTCTACATCTTCATCTGAAGGCTGCTAGCAGAATACTGACTTCTAGGCATACACCTATTCCAACAAGGCTACACCTTCTAATAGTACCACACCCTGGGCCAAGCATATACATTCCACTCCCTGGCCCCATAAGCTTGTTCAAACATATGAGTCTATGGGGGCCACACCTAAACATAGCAGAATGCAAAATCCATTTAGTCCCCAAAGTCTATAGCAGTCTCAACAATCTTAAAAGTCCAAAGCTCAAGGTCTCTTCTGAGATTCACTCAACCACTTAACTGTAATCCACAAAGCAAGACAGGAAACAAGCTGGGCAAACTCCAAACTCTGTGTCTCCGTGTCTGATGCCAAAGAAGTCTTCAGATCTCCAACTCCCTTTTCATCTTTGCTGATGGCAACAAACTTCTTTCTGCTGGGCTGGTTCCACTCCCTGTTAGCATCTTTCCTCAGCAGATAGCCCACAGCTCTGACATCTCAAACATCTTAGAGTCTCCAAGGCAATTTCAATATTACAGTCTCTTGTTTCAATGTCTGGGATCCACACATGATCTTCTGGGATCCTCCAAAGGGCTCCTCCAGCTCTGTCCTCTGTAGCATTCTAAGTTCAGGTTGATCCACTCCACTGATGCTGTTATGTTCATGGTGATCATCCTGTGATACTGGCATCTCCAATACACTGGGGTCTTCCACTGTGATTAGGCTTCACCAATAGCCTCTCACAGGCTCTCTTTATGGTGCCAAGCCTCAACTCCTTTGGATGGCCCCTTCAGTCCTGAGCTGTCAACTGCAGCTGAGGTTGCACCTTCACCAATGGCCTTCCATGGCCTCTCACAGTGCCAAGTCTCAGGGGCCTTCATGACCCCTTCATGCCTTCAAAACTAGTACCACTTGGGTGACTCTTACATATCACCAAGTACAGCTGCAGCATGAGGTACAATCTTGGCTATCTTTGGAATACAGTTTCTTTATGCTCTCAGAAAATACATGCCAGAAGATTTTATCTCATGATTCTGGCCTCTTTTAATCACCACTAATTTCTTAGCTTCAGCTAACCAGCATCAATTGTCCCAATTGTCTCTTCTAATTTTCACTCTAAAGCCAGAGGCACATGGCCAAAGCTGCCGAGTTCTGCTGCTTGCTGGGGCTGGAACATGCCCCCCACCTCAATTTATTCTATTACCAGCTTTCTGTTTTCCGATTTCCTCTCAACCTAAACTTCTCTTTCCTGGTACTTGCTCTGTAGATTGACTTTGAGCTCAGAGATCTGCATGGTTCTGTCTCCTGTAATGCTAGGATTAAAGGTGTGTACCACCAAGCCTGAAATTAAACTTTTCTTTACCTATTGAACTCAGACATTTGCTGTCTTTGCCTCCTGGGATTAAAGGCTTGTACTACCATGCCTGGACTTAAATTTAGCTGAGTGGGATCTTGCCCTAAGGTCACTACTCCCTTAACTCAATTTAATATCCTTGTACACAGAATTCAGCTCTGTTTCATTTCCTGGAGCCCCTTTAATATTCAAACCATATATTTTATATTTTTCCTTTATCAGCTTGCTATGCTTGTTTAAAATGTTCTTCATGAGACTTAACCAGAGAACAAAGTCTATGAAGACTGTTTCTGAGACTTCCTTTGTCAGTGCAATTAATCTGAGTCTCTTCACCTTAGCCTCATGTAGTCTCTTCAGACAAGGGCAAAAAGTAGCCACATTCTTCACCAAAATACCACAAAAACAGTCTCTAGGCCTCATACTGAAATTCTCTTCTGAAACCTCTTGAGCCAGGTTCTCACAAATCAAATCACCCTCAGTCACAAAGTCTTCCATATTCCTACTAGGATAGACCATTAAGCCCCACTTAAAGCAGTCCACTGCTTTCCAAATCCAAAGTCCCCAAATCCACATTCTTCCAAACAAAAGCATGGTCAGCCCCATCACAGCAATACCCCACTCCTGGTACCAACTTCTGTCTTAGTTAGGGTTTTTCTGCTGTGAACAGACACCATTACCAAGACAAGTCTTATAAAGGACAACATTTAATTGTGGCTGGCTTACAGGTTCAGAGGCTCAGTCCATTATCATCAAGGAAGGAGCATGGCAGCATCCAAGCAGACATGGTGCAGGAGGAGCTGAGAGTTCTACATCTTCATCTGAAGGCTGCTAGCAGAATACTGACTTCCAGGCAGCTAGGGTGAAGGTCTTAAAGCCTACACTTACAGTGACACACCCACTCCAACAAGCCTACACCTTCTAATAGTACCACTCCCTGGGCCAAGCATATACAAATCATCACACCTGCCATTTTGTGCAGTTACTAATGTCATGAGGAAACTTTCTCATATGTTCTTACTAGCATGTTCTGTGCATGGGTGTTCTTAGACACTAATCACAATAGAAGTCAATTAGGACTGCTTTGTATAGTTAGCCACAATAATCTCAGACCCAATCAACCACCAGGCAGCACTTTATGCAGTTATGTATGAGCTTTTATGGTTTTTGCTTTTATAAGCTGCCCCTGGGATGGATCTCGACATAAGAGAGACACCTGCACCAATATAAGAAACTACTTAGAATAAGGCTTTCACCTTGAGTAGGGGTGGAGTAAAGTTTAAGTTTCCAAGACCTCCCTGGGAACTGACATCTGCTTGTCAAAAAGAGACATATATGTGGGTAACTGACATCCTGGTTGGCAAGTTAAAACATGAATGTTAGACAAGGCAAGTCCCCTGCCCCAGTTGAGTACCCCAATCAATGGAAGCAAGATAAGTATACAACAAAGACACGTTTCTACGGAAATCCCCTATCCCTAAATCCTGATTGGTAGAATAACTTGACACAGATGTTTGTGCATTTTAGGCTTAAAAGTCCTATAGGATCTTAACTCAATGTTGCAGCCACCTCCTGAGTCTTATTTGTGGTTCTGATGGATCAGTCTTAGTATGTGGCATTCAATAAACTATCCCTGTTTGGCTGAGATTAGTGTCTGAGTGGTTTGTGTGGCAATTCCCAGACCCCAACAGTGACCTTGTGACATTGTCTAAGAACAGGTTTAACTAAAAATATTTCACCAGTCATGGTAGCACATGCCTTTAATTCCAGTACTTGAGGTGGGCAGATCTCTGTGAGCTCTTTTAGCCTCGTCTATAACATGAGTTATAAGACAACCAGGGCTACACAGAGAAAGGTTGTCTCAAAAAACCAATCTAAACCAAACCAAACCAAACAAACAAGCAAAAACTTTACTAGCACATATCAAATCATGGCCTTGACATTGAACAACACAGAAAGTGATAGTTTCTATACCACTGATACACTAACTACAGCTAAGGTGTGTCTCAGTAGGGATGGGCGTATTTTATGCCTGTTATCTCCTTCAATACAGAAGCTGAAGACAATTAGACACCAAGAGACAGTATCACTTCTTTGAATTTCCCACTAGCTATTGCAGATGTAGCACAACAATTTTAAGTCACAAGAAATGATTCTCAAACAGCAGCCATCACTGTTAGGCACATGCAAGTTCAAGTACACAGGTCTATGGCTCAGACCTTCCCTCATCCTGTGAGGAAGTTATACATGGAAGCAGGACGACTACTCAGAAAAATGTCTGCTGTCAAGCAACAAACTAAACTGACTATAGCTTCTAAGAACACACCGTTTTATTACTAGTTAAGATGTTTAAAACATTACATGTCAAGTATGATATAAAATTGCTGCTGAAAAGCTGATTGTTCAAGTGCTGTTTGGGGTATGGCACATTATTAACACAAAGAAAACATGACAGAGAGATGTGCATTAAAACTGTGCATACCGACAGCTGAGTATTCTCACTGCTGTCGAGATTCCTTTGTTCCAGCTGTGATGTCTCCTCAGAGTCCACTTCTGCTGAAACACACATACAGTTCCTGTAAAAAGCTACTCACTCATAGGTTATAAAGAACAGCACTTAAAAGTAAATGAAAAGAATAAAACTCTAAAGGATAATGGTTATTTTCAATTTCTTTTTCTTTTTTTTTTTTTTTTAGAGACAGGGTTTCTCTGTGTAGTCCTGGCTGTCCTGGAATTCACTCTGTAGACCAGGCTGGCCTCGAACTCAGAAATCCACCTGCCTCTGCCTCCCAAGTGCTGGGATTAAAGGTGTGTGCCACCACCGCCTGGCTATTTTCAATTTCTAAGTTAAAATTTTAAATCAAGGTTAATATGCAGGTGGCTCCTTCATTAAAAAAATTGTTATAAGCAAGCTGCTCTACACACACAAAGGGACACAACACACACTTTTTTTTTTCATTATTGGGCTTGATAAAGCCTTTGTATAAACGTGGAAACCTGAACAGCCCAAACCTGATTACAGTCATTCGGACAGTGGTTGAATGCGGCCTCTAGATACCCCAATGTTAGAAAAATTCTACAAACCCAGACTTGACTCTGTTGACAAGATCTCCAGAAGCAAAATGTTAAGACAGGAAAGAGGGAGATACATACAACTACACCATTTTATTTTTGGCCTCATAATACTACATTTTACACAACTCTTGTAAATCACTGAGCCCAAAATTAATAGGATGTGTTTGCACATTTATGAGTAATGAAGCATTGTTGTTCATTTGGTGACAAATTCCCTTCTTTGCTGCAGCCAGATCCTCAGAGGTGATGATGACACAGAGAAACTGATGTCCTTCCTATGTACCCACTTATGTTTATCAGCAAGTCTACTCTGTCTCCAACAAGAGAAGTCAAGTTATTTACCACCATTCAAGTCCGGAGGAGATAGCTCAGTTAGTAAAATGCCTGACGAGTTAGCATAAGGACCTGAGTTCAAATTCTAGCACCTACTTAAGAGCTGAGTGTGGCTGCACAAAACTGCAATCATAGCACAGTAGGTGGAGGAAGGCACGGGTCCCTGGAGGAGCCTGCTGGCCAGCCAGGGGAGGTAACGGATGAACTTCAGGCTCAGGGGTTGGAGGGGGACGAGGTCTCAACAGATAAAGTGGGGGTGAGGTGGGGGCAGCAAGATAGCTCAGTGGCCAAGGCATCTCCTGTCAGGTGATCCCAAGACTCATATGATGCAAGCAAAGAACCAACTCAGGTAAGACCTCTGACCTTCACATAGGTGTTATGGCACATTCCTGTGTGGCCAGCACATGCGCATACATGCACATACAAGATATGTAGCTTAGAGAAAAAAGCTGAGGTGGGCAGTGAGGTGTGGCCTCCACACACATGTGCACACTGTGGTCAATCACACACCACATGCATGTGTACACACATACATTTGTTTTACTTCCTGTTCCATGGACTCCTTCTTTCTTTTTTATATTTTGAGACAGGGTTTCTCTGCATAGCCCTGGCTATCCTAGCATTTACTGTGTAGACCAGGCTGGGCTTGAACTCACAGAGATCCGAATGCCTCTGCCTCTCAAGTGCTAGGATTAAAGGTGTGTGCCACTGTTCCTGGCTTCTTCAGGAGATCCATACAAGCTGCAGGGACTGAGCTCTCAAGCATGGCTGCTTTGGAGCTGATGCTTGAGCTAGAATTTCAGAGCGACTTAAATAAACTGCACAGACAGCAGCCAGGGCTGAGGCAGGCCTAAGAGCACATGCTTGTCTAAGGACAAGGGTCTACGTGGACAGCACCCCCACATCTACTGGTCAGCATGTGCGTGCTCCAGTGGTTCGGCCAGCTGACAAGACCAGCTGCCAGAGGCCTTGTTTTACAATAGTCTAACCAAGAGTTCACCTTTCCATTTTAGACTCTGGCCTCTAGTTGCCCCTTATCAGACAATTCACATTTCAATTGCCAAAGGTGTTATGGACTCTGTGATAAGATTTTTAAAGATCTGTGGTGTTTTATTGTTTTTCTTATTTCTCCATGACAATTTCAACTTTTTCTTCTCTAAAACCTTTTAAATAATGGGAAATAACACTTTCCACAACACTAAACTCTATACCCAGGTGGCTGAGCAGACATATTTAAATTTGTTTATGATTAAAAATGAAACACAACTGTACCTGGCACCATAGGTCTCTGGGGGCATCTCTCCGGTGAGGAAGAAAGGACTGAGATTCTACCTGGAACTGGAAGCTGTCTCCCTGTCTCTCCCTTTGTTTTTGACTTTGTGAAGAAGCGTTCCAACTCCCTGCTCTTTGCTGGGCAGAGCAGCCTCATGTTCTTCATCACTCTGTCCTATTGGCCTTTCCTTTCTTCCCTCCTCCTCCCCTCCCTCCCATCTCTAAGCCCTAACTTTCTGCAGGTCTCAGGATATCTTGACATGGAACCCGTATCGAGCATTCAGAGGCCCTCTCCTCTTGTCCTGGAATGACAGACCCCAGGCCCCTTTTTGTCCATCCCCCTACCTTCATCTAGTTGGTGCATTTCTCTGGCTGTAGGGCACATGTCTACCGCTCAGTCGGTGACGGCTAGCCCAGTGATGTCAGGACTGCTCGCCCTTACCTGCTGCCTGCTCTGTTTCCAGATACTGCACTTGCTGATCTGTGGCATCAGACAGAATCCCCTCACACTTGTTCAGCAAATTCTCAGAGACACTCTGCAAAAATCGATACCCATGATTAGTCTGCAAACAGTTCCCAAGCATTTCATAAAACAGTATCCGAAGTTTTCCTATTCACCATTTCTTTATTTTTTACTTTGTTATTAAAAAATCTTGGAAACAAAAATGTCACACACTAAAATTAACCAGACCTAAAGACTATAAAAGTTAATAACTTCTTAATGAAATTCCTATTTCAAAAAACATTGTTTTGAAAGTAAGTAAATGTCAAGTTCCTGAACATGTCTATAGAGGATCTTTTGCAAAATTTCTAGATCAAGCCAGTATTTTTTCTTCGTATGGTGACCAATCTTTGTATACGGAGTTGTAGGGCCCAGGGCTATCATATGTATTAAACAAAACTGGATGGCACACCTATCTCAGCAAGGAACTACACTTTAGGATGTCTGCCTTCGATTTGTATTTGCACTGGAATTAAATGTCTATATAAAACACTTCAAATTAAAGTTTATATGTATAGTGCCTGTAATATAAATGAGGGCAGAAAAAAATTCTGTCTTTGAGACAGTATCTTTCTGTGTCACTCAGACTGACTTCCAACACAACTTACAGGGTTGGTGCTGTCATCGCGTGCACACCAGCCTCATCCCTATCCAATGCTGGGGTTACTAGCCTGTGCAGCCGTACCCAGAAAATGCCCAAAATGCTTCCAATTGACTGACCCTGCTTTGGTTGTAAAGCTCCATATTTGCCATGATCACATCTTGGCGAGCATAGGCACGGACGGTAGGACCTTCATTTTGGTAAGCAGGAGTTTTGGTGATCTGGATGTACAGTGGGAAATTACTGATGGCAGGCGGATGACTAAAAAGTGAAAGTAGTAAGAAAAGCACTGAGAAGGGCTGGAGGATGGCTTTGTGGGTTAGAACGCTGGCTGTTCTTCCAGAGGCCCCAGGTTCGATTCCCAGCACCTGTGTGGTGGCTCACAAACTTCTCTAACTCCAGTTATAGATATACATGCAGGCAAAACACACACTTAGAATAAAAGTAAATCTAAAAAAAAAAAGACCATCATGCAAATATTAGACATGCACGGGATTATCTCTTCATTACATAAAGACCACACAGTATTTCAAGTCTGGAGAAGAAGGAATGTTAAGAGCAGTTACTTACTAAATGTCTATAAAATGTCGGGTGCTGAATTCACGCCCTTCCTTCCTAGTATACAAAGGACACACCCAGGGTGGTTTAAGGAGCAGAAGCCACGGTGTCACATTCCTTTGCTTAGGAAATAGAAAGTAGCCTACATGGCTACACAATCTCATACACACATACTCGATTTGATTAGTAAAAAAATTTCACCAACAGACAACAGGCATCCAATTCACACCAGCAAAAGAACAACTACCTCATTTTCAAGGTGGACTTTCTCCCAGGCCAGGATCTCTTCCTCCAATATCCGGAACTCGCTGTCAGACAGCCTGTTCTGCATTTCTTCATTCTCAAAAGCTCTTGCCGTCTGGCCATCAGGGGGCGCATCACTGGTGGCTCCCACAGTACGCACTGGGGCTTCACAATTGCCCTTGAAGGGCAATGGCTTCAGGGACAAGTCCTGTGTGCCTTTACTTTTCCTGTACATGTCGCTTACAAGAAGGGTAGAATCACTCCAACTTATTATTTCGCTCACCTGACTCCTTTCCTTGACGTTTGAAAGCCTTTTAGCATCACTGGATTTCAGCATGTGTCCGATATCTAACTGCCAGTCAGTGCGTTTTGGTTTCATAGTTTTTTGCAATTGGCTCTTGAACTCACGGCCTTCTTGCTTTTCACCCATATGTACTTCTGGGTATTTCCCTTTTACCTTTCTACTTTCAATATTTTTAGAAGATTTCTCCTTTCTTTTGTGAAAAGATTCTTCCAATTCAGAAGTGTTATTTTCACAGTCTAATTTATTTCTCATTATGGGAAACTTAGTAAGTGACTGGCCACTGTATTCCATGACCTGAGAGGATGAGGAAGATGGAAAGGCATTTCCAAGGCTACTTTCCTCCTGTCTGGGAAAGATCCGCAGTGCTACAGAGTCCAGCGCTGCAATCACATCTCTGTGGCCACAGTCAAGCATACTGTTAGTGGGGGCTGACCTCAAGTGAGCTTTTCCTGAGGCATCAGGTGGTCGCTCTTCCTTGTGGTAAACATTAGCTTCGACACCTTCATAGATCTCACCACCCTTCTGGGTTGGCTTGTTTATGACACGTTGCTCAGTTTCTTTACCCTCCGGTTTTTTTCCTTCAGTCAACAACTTTCCTCCACATACTGGCCCCTTAGCAGGGTTTGAAAGTCCAGATGTATCTTCCTCATCAGAAACCGTGTCCATCTCTGGCTCCTGAGACCTTTCTTGGAGTTGTGAAAGTGGAGGGCTCATCTGCTTGGCTTGATGCTGGGATGCTCTGGATGCCAGGGGATGTTTTTCTAATCCATCCTTGTCCTTAGAAATCATAGGGCAGGGACAAACAAGCAAAAAGATTTAATGTGTACCATTTGGCTTTTCATAATATACGTTTAGTTACACAAGAATCATATGATTAAAATTAACAAATAAAATTAGTTTAGGGCTGGTGAGATGCCTCTGAGTAAGTAAAGGGGCTTCCACCAAAGCCCAACAGTCTGGGTCCAACCCTCAGAGTCTACACGATGGAAACAGACGAACAACGCTCCAAAGCTGGCCTCTCATCTAACCTTCATGGGATGCTGAGATGTGTACCTGCTCCCACACATACAATAAATAAATGTAAAATGAAAATCCCTCACTTATCTTAGTCTTCCCAGAAGAGTCCATGACCCAGAAGACTTAACACTACCACTGTTACTTAGACTGATCCTTGCTTGGTATGTGTTAGGTAATTTTAAATACTACAAGAACATTTATTTCACCATTCTTTAAATACTGATGTTTACTGACATTTAGTCTCTGAAAATTAGTAATTGAATAGTAGGTGAACTAAGATTGTCTATTTCTATAATGGTGACACCATGTGTGTAAAACCAAATTCACGTTAGAAGAAAATTCTGCTGTTATATATGAATGGCCTCCAAATGTGATGGTTTTCTAAGTCTTCCCTGTTGAGATACAGCTTCAAGAAGTATGGCAAGCTTTACTAAGAACACAGGCACAAGAACCCTGATTTATCAAGTATCTAAAACATGCCAGATTCTTCTCAGTTAAGAAGAAAATTACTTTGGAGGTGGTTGTAGAGATCATAGGAGTCCTAACAACCATGAGAGTCTGGTGGCATGCAGCTGAGTGGTGCGGGACATGGGCTGGGTTTGGATTGAGGTCCTTTATATACAAACAGTGTTGGTGGTAAGTCAACAGAGGTTTCTGATTGTCCCATTTCTGGGGGTATTGTAAAAAGTAAGTAGTCATTTTCCAGAGGTAACTTTGTATACAGTACTTACAAATCCATCTATCCATATGATTCTTCGGTAGCAGGTAACTCATTTTAGAAAAAAACACCTACATTGTGATTTTGTTAATTGGATGTGTATCTATCACAGGCACATAATTATCAGCAAAAGGTAAATTAAAAGAATCCAATGAAAAAAATGTACATTTTTTTAAAGAACATAGAAACTTAAATTTTATTTTCCCATTTCATGTATAGAAATAAAGAATTCTCACTGGATATATCTTGTGAGTCAATGGGAAGGGACTTGTTTGACAAACCCAAGGGCCTAAGTTTGATTCTCCCAACACAGAAAGAAAAGGAGGAAGGTGAGAAAGGGAACAAATAAAAAGGCAAAAGCAGAAAATACAAACCTGTGTCTGTAACCGACCCTTTAATAGAAGGTTCAAATGAAATTATTTTTGTATTTTTATGGATTATAGATTTAGGCATTTCATTATTTATTTTATTTTTAATTAAAATTTTTATATACTATATCTTGATCCTGTTTTCCCTTCTTCCAACTCCTCCCAGGTCTTTCCTACCCACCCAACTTTATATTCTCTCTCTCTCTGTCTTAAAAAAAAACAAAAACTCAAAAAGCTCCACAAAAAAGAAAATAAAAACAAACAGGCAAAAGACCAACCAGATAAAAGATGTCAAATCAAAGAAAAACTCCACAAAATACCACTGAGTTCATCTTGTGTTGGCCAACCACCTCCTGGGCCTGGGAACTTACCCAGTGGCACTCCATTGGGAAAATAAATAATTTCTATTTTGCAATTGACTATCAACTGCAAATAGCTTCTTAGTTGGAACCCATGTCGACTTCTCCCTCTCAGCATTGGGACCTGTCTGTCTGGAGCCTGTGCATGCTGCCTCAGTCTCTGTGAATTCCTAGTGCATCAGTCCTGTTGTGTCTGGAAGACACTGTCTCCTAGGAGCCATCCATCAGTGCTGGGTCTTACAGTCTTTCTTTTTCCTCTTTCACAACAATCCCTGAGCCTGGAAGGGAGATCTTTGAGGAAAACATCCCATTTAGGATGGGGAACTCTAAAGCCCCTCCCTCTGCACATTGCTTAGTTGTGGGTCTGTGTGTTAATTCTCATCTGCTGCAAGGGATAAGGGTTAATTAGGCAAGGCACTGATCTATGGCTATTGTTTTTGTTGTGTTCCTTTAGAAGAACCATCGTATTTGGTTCTCCCTTAGGCCCATGGGGATTTTGGCCACCCAAGCAATGTCAGACAAGGGTTCCATCTTACAGTGTGTCTTAAATTCAATCACATAGTGGTTGGTTACTCCCTCAATATGTGTGACACTATGGCACCAGCCTATCTTGCAGGCAGGTCACTGCTGTAGATTTCAGTGATTGTTGCTAGGTGATAGAGATGATTTCCTTTCTTCTCTGGTTATGTGCAGAGTACCTTCCCCTGCTATAAATGCTAGTCAGTAGGGTGAAGGTTCACAGCTTGATTTCTCTGGGTTTGATGACAGAAGTGTTGTCTTAAGCAACAGGGCCTTGCTGTCAGCTCATACAGCTCAACCAATAGCCTTGGCAGTAGCCTGTGGTATTTGGAGGAATCAATGGGAGTACCCTGGACAGCGATGCAACAAGGGGTAACCCAGTCCTGGCACTGGAGGGTTTTCTGGTGGCATCAAAAGTCAGGTTATTTGGCGATCCCATTTGGAGTCCTCTCATAGATGTCTATATTTTAGGAGCGTCTACAGCAGTATGTCTCTATATGATTTTTCAAAGGCCTTTAGTGTATGCTGTTCTTCCTAATATTTCCTCATTTGCCTTCCTTTCCCTTCCCTCTCCCAGTTCTCCTATTCGAGTTTCACTTTTATCTCTCCATAACACTGTATTCTATTTTTCCTTCCTAGGGAGATCCTCTTTTCTACCCAGTCCCTTACTAACCTCTGTGGTTATTTGGATTACAGCACACATATCGAAAGCATAAGAGCTAACATCTACACATAAGAGAAAATGTGCAATATTTGTCTTTTTGTATCCGGGTTACCTCACTCAAAATGATTTTTTTCTAGTGCCATCCATTTACCTGCAAGTTTCATAATTCTATTTTTCTTAAGAGCTGAATAATAGTTTGTTGTATAAATGTACCACATTTTTTTATTACTCATTCAGTGATTGAAGGGAAACTAGTTTTTTTTTTTTCCCATTTCCTAGCTATTGTGAATAGAACAGCAATAAATGTGGTTGAGCAAGTGTCTTTGTCGTAGGATGCAGAGTGCCTTGGGCATACACCCAAGCGTGGTATAACTAGATCTTGAGATAGATTCTTGGATCTCTGGGGAACTGCCACATTGATTTCCGTAGTGTTTGTACAAGTTTACACTCTCACTAGCAATGGAGAAACTATCCCCTTACCTCACATTCTTACCAGCATGTGCTGTCTTTTGTTTTATTCTTTTCGGCAATTCTGATAGTCATAAGATAATATTTCAAAGCAGTTTTGATTTGCATCTCCCTAATGACTAAAGATGTTGGACTCTGAGTGCTGCTCAGCCGTTTGAGAGTTCTGTTTAGATCTATACCCCATTTTAAGGTGGATTATTTATTTTCTTGACATCCAGTTTTTTGAGCTTTTTATATATTTTAGATCAGTGATTCTCAACCTTCCTAAAGCCTTTAATACAGTTTCTTATGTTAAGGTAACCCCCAAAACCATAAAATTATTTTCATTGCTAATTCATAACTGTAACTTTGCTACTGTTATGAGTTGTTTACATGTAAATATCTGACTTCCGGTGGACTCAGGCACTCCCTAGCTTTCTATTGGATGTGTGACTAGTAAAAATTCTTCCCATTCTGTAGCCTGTTCTTTGAAAGATGGTGTCCTTTGCCATACAGAAGCTTTTCAGTTTCATGAGATCGCAGTTACAGTTGATGTTGGTGCCTGAGCTGTCAGTGTCCTGCTCTGGAAGTCTGTATCCATGCCAGTAAGTCTGAATTTGTTCCTCACATTATCTCCTAGCAGATTAAGTGTATCAGGCCTTATTTTGAGGTCCATGTTCCACTTGGAGTGGAGTTTTGTGCAGGGTGATGAACATGAATCTATTTGCAGTCTTCTGCATGCAGCTGTCCAGTTTGATGAACACCAGTTGTTGAAGATGTCTTTTCTCCAGAGTGCAGTTTTGTTTTGTTTTTTTAAAAAAAAATCAAAAATCAGGTGTCTGGACTTATTATGTCTTTGATTCAATTCCACTGACAAGCATGTCTGTTTTCAGGCCAATATCATGCTGGTTTTTTTTTTCCCAAGGTCTGATTATTTACTTGTTGCTCTTTTTTGTTGTTGTTGTTTTTGGTTTTTCGAGACAGGGTTTCTCTGTATAGCCCGGGCTGTCCTGGAGCTCACTTGGTAGACCAGGCTGGCCTCAAACTCAGAGACTGGGGTTGGCTATGGGGTAGTTGTAACTTGCCTTTATTGTGTGGAGGTAATTCCCTTGTCCCTAGCTGCTCCAGGACTTTTATCATGAAGAGACTTTTGTCAAAGATCTTTTCTACATTTAATGAGGTGGTTATGTGGTTTTTGTCTTTCAGTCTGCTTATGTGGCAGATTATGTTAGTTGATTTACATATGTTGATCCACCCTGGATCTCTGGGATGAAGCCAACTTGATCATGGTAGATATCTTTTGATATGTTCTTGATTTTGTTTTGAAGATGTTTTATTGAGATATTTTGCATTTATGTTCATGAGGAAAACTTCTGTAATTTTCTTTTGTTAGATGTTTGTATGGTTTTGTATTAAGATCATAGTAGTTTCATAAAAAGAATTAGGAAATGTTCTTTTAGTTTCTATTTTTCAGAATAATTTGGGGAGTATTGATATTAATTCTTTTCTAAAGGTTTGGGAGAATTCTGTGCTAAACCCATCCCTAGGCTTTTTTAACGTGGAGATTTTCATTAGTTTTTATGGATCTGTTAAAGTTATTTCATCTTGACTTAATTTTTGGACCTAATAGAATAATATATTTGAATATTTGGTCCTTAGTTTGTACAACAGTTTTTGGGAAGGATTAGGAAGTGTGGCCTTGCTGGAGGGAATATGTCAGTAGGGGTGGCCTTTTGAGGTTTCAAGGCCTGTGTGAGGCCTAGTCCCTCTCTGCCTCTGACTTGTGGATCAGGATGTAAAGCTCTCAGGTGCTGCTTCAGCACCAGGCCTGCCTGCCTGCTGCCTGGCTCCCCACTGTGATAATTAGAGACTAGCCTTAGGAAATTATAACAAACTCCCTAATTATATGTTTTCTTTCATAAGCATTTAATTTTGTCTTGGTTATGGTGTCTTTCACAGTAAAAAACAGAAGTAACTAAGACAGCAGGTTCTATGTATAAAGAAATCCATCCATTTATTTTATATTTTTTCCAGTTTGGTAAAATAT